TTGTTGAAGGAATGGTACTATCATTGAAGAATTGCAAGCCAAAGAAATAAAGAATAAATATAATGAGAAGTTTCTTGGATTAGCAAAAATATCCCTAAGTTCACAGTGATAAGACAGAGCTCACCATATCAGTGGCAGTCTGGCTAAAAAAAAATTAGCTGTCTTCTTTCCCTATAATTCTACAATTTCATGTACTTAATATGCTTTAAAATTTGTAAGACTTTCAACCAAAGGTTTTTTCATATGAACATTAAAAAAAATGACATTTCAACAGAATTCTTACAGAAGTCATAAAACTTTTTAAGCCATTTACCAGTGTTAACCTGTTTAAAGATACGACAAACACAAAGAGAGCAAAATTTGTAGCCAGGATGTTTGATTAATTTAGTTGCTCCATACACAGCTCCAGCTTCTTAAACACATTTCTTAATTTGTCATAGTTCAGAATCATTGAACGTGCATTCATTCTTTCTTATATTCTAGTGGTTTTAGAGTGGGAATATTTATTTGGTAGGTGCTGACTGAATTGTAAGCTGGGGGGATGACTGTAGTTGAAATCAATTTGAAATCAAGCTATTGTTTATCTGAAGCCAAATAAACAATAACTAGTCTGGCTGGCTACATTTACAATTGCTCTAATACTTTCACAACTACACCATAGAAATTTTATTTCATTACTCTAAATCAGTTGCAGCTGATAAGGGGAATGAACCATATCAGCACTATTTGCCAGATCTAAGTTACAACATGAATCTTTGCAAGTGAGTGCATAGACAGAATGTGGTTGTGGCCTCCCCAAGAATATTAATCACCATCTGCCATCAGTGCTGAGCAGCCAAATGTGTTCAAGGTGTGCGATCGTTAAAAGATTAAATGGGCTACTGTCTCATGCCTATGTTAGATCCAGCCTTAGCTGTGTTGGCTACTGAGTTCAAACCTCTCCACATGGGTCAGTCTTACAGTTAGGGCAATGGTGTTCTAGCAAGACATAAAAGGGGTTGTGAAGAGGTAGTGAATTCCTCAGCCAGCAGGACAGAAAACATGGTCCTTGTAGATACTCTATGTGCTTAGAACTTATCCTCTTGTAGTAATCCTGTAGTCTCCCTGTAGGTAAAAAGCTGCAGCACTATTTTAAAAAATGCCATTTTCCTTGTACTAATCTCTCCCCCTTCCTTAATAAATATCTGTACTTTGTAATTTTAAAATTAATCTTCCTCCTTTTATTAATCCAAATTAATTTCAATTGTTTAAACTTGCAAAGTCTCCTGCATTAGGTCTGCCACTTCACTGGCACAAGCTTTTTCCTTTTTTTGAGTAGCCCATCTGTCAAGTTGATCAAGGATAGGAAGTTTAACTGTGTGTCCAGATAAGTGAGGAGTAAGCAAACCATCTTAATGAAATTAATGAATCTTACAACTTCAGGGAGACTAAAGGTGTTTCTCAGACTCGGCAGTGACATATCTCTTCAATGAATATTTAACAAGAATACCCACTGCACAGAATAGAGGCTTGTTTTGAATGTCAGTGAAAACTATTTTTAGTAGCTTGCTGCTGTGTTTTAAACATCCAAATAATTCGATTTGGCTTATGGGAGAGTTCTACCACGAATTCCTCTGGTCTCCCCTGATTGCTTGAAGACTCTCACTACACTTAAGACTCATAGGATCACAGGATTGAGGCAGGTCTTAGGGAAATGATCTAGTCAAACCCCTACTTTAACAAGCAATCCCTTTACACAATATCCAATCAATCAGTATACATCCAGGCACTAGTTGAAGAGCTCCTGTGATAGACAAGTTGTCCTCAGGCAAACCAGAGAGCTCTAAAGAAGGAGAGAATTTTTTCCTTTTATCTATCCCAAATCTGCTGCTATACAACTCATCCATTACTGCTAGCTCTTTCTAGACTCAAGCAAAACTAGTCTAATTCTTCATCCACAGGACAGTCCTGCAGATATATTTTTTAATGGCTGTCTCCCACAAATCACTTCTCTAGGTTAAATGACCCCTTTAAAGAATCCCTTTTAAAGATGGTACTGCATTAGTAAGGAAGTGTGAAGAGCAAACATACATCTACCTCTGTTAATAAAGAGCCAATCATTTTTCTCCTAGGCAGCCTGAAATTCAAGTTCAACCATGCTCAAATTCAAGGGAGAAGGGGTGGATATAAGGTAGCAGCATCATGAAGCCATGGCCTGTGATGTAAGTGGAATAGAGTTCATCCACAAATTATCACTTAAACACCACAGTTCTGAGATTTGATGGAAGTCCTGGGTCATGTTGGAAGCTGCATTGATGTGTCAATGTTAAGAAAAGCAAAGAACCTTGGACTTAACACAACCTCTTTTCCATCACAAAGATAACAGTAGAAAGAAAACTATTACAATAATGGTAGGTATGTGATTACTAAAACCTCTAGAAAGAAAACACTTGACTAGGGCTTCTGGCTATTCATATTTCATCAAAATTAGATAGTACTATCTTTTGCTCCTTTTCAGTCCTGAACTAGATTCACCCCAAACTTCTTTATAGACTTAAGAAATGTTACCAGTCAGATATTTGTAGGAAAAGTTCCTACTTTTCTGATTATAAAGCTTTTTATTCATCTATAAAAACATGTAAACCCAAGATTAATCCAAAATAGCCAAGTCAATCTGTTCCCTTGTTAGCCTAGAAGGAAGTTACCATTTCACTTACAGTTCATGACAGAAAGGGGTTATCTGGGGCAGCTAGGTGGTGCAGTGGATAGAGCACCGGCCCTGAAGTCAGGAGGACCTGAGTTCAAATCCAGCCTCAGACCAAACATTTGACACTTACTAGCTGTGTGACCCTGAGCAAGTCACTTAACTCCAATTGCCTTAAAAAAAAAAAAGGGATTATCTGACACAAGATTTTTGGGGAGATTTCAAAAGAGATGAAAGAAAGGTAGTGTCTTGAAGCCTAAAATTATCAGGGAAAGTTGGGCAAAAAGGAATGAAAAGTAATTCTTCTAACTCATCAAAAAAGGAGGAGCTGCTTAAAGATACCACAGAGTGGATGCATAGTGCACTCAAAGAACAGATTATATTTAAAAGGACATGTAGAGAAGATGGACATACAGGTAAGTAACTGAAAATAAATATAAAAATGTTGCAGAGTCCTATAAGAAATGTTGGAAATGTTAAACTTTGGAATGAACCAAGAAATGGTGAAAACAAAGCTTTTTAAAAGCTTCACTGGGGACTAAAATGGAGTTGATAGGATCACTGCTGATGGAGCAATAATGATCCAGGTCTTCTGATTCCAAATCCAGCACTTCATTACCTATGCCATATTCCTGCTTTTATTTTAAGGTGGATGACCTATAGGTCATCTACTTCAATCTCTACATTTCATATATGAGGAGACAGGCCCAATGATGTTGAGTGAATGGTCCAAGGTGGCACAGGTAGTAAGTGGCCAAGCTGGGATTTGAACCTAGGGTCTTCTGATTCCAGATCCAGCACTTTCCAATTGCAGCACTTGATATAGTCTGTTGTTACGACTGTACTCACATGGTAGAACTCTTCAGAACTGAACTTCCTGGCATAGCCTTAAACATTACAAGGTTGCCTGTCCACCAAGATTAGCTTTCAAGCAGAACTATGATCATTTATTAAACACCTACGTATTTAGCACCAGGTAAGGTGAGACAAAAATAAAACAGTTCTTGCCCTCAAGAAAGTCATGTTCCACTGGGAAGATACATGTATCCAGACATGTGTAGGATAGTGTCTAGACAGGCGATTTCATTAGCATAGCGCACTTGCAAATGAGATGCCCTTTACTGATGCTGTTTGACACATTTATTTCAGTAACTCAGATTCAGGGGGTTGCCTAGAACAGAGTTTAAGTGGTTTGCCTAATGTTAAAAAGTCAGTTATGTCTGTGGTAGGTCAATAATTTAACTGGGAGAGAGCAGTTTCACTCAAATGGTGACAGAGTGGTAGTGGTAGCAGCAGGGCTGCAAGGAGCTGATAAAGTAAGAGATGGGAAGATGAGGACAACTTTGTCTAGGAAATTGACTGTGAAAGGGAGAAGAAAAATAGGACATATCTTATAAGGATGGCAGGGGTTAACTGAAAGACCAACATTTTTAAAAACACAAAACTGTTTTTGATGATGACAATCCAAACGCCTATTTTTGAAGTACACTAGTTTAGACCAAAGAATATTACTCAGAACCACAGTAGGAAGTGTTTTTGAAGTTCATACATATTATTTTTCTAAAGAACTCTTTAGCAGTACAAATTCCACATCATGAAATGGGTTTTATCATGAACTTTTAAGTAGTTGTTTTCTCTGCTTGTTCCTGAATAGGGACTGCTGTTTGTGAAAGCTACAGAGCCAAAATGCTTTCCTAAAATTTGCTTATACCTTCTTTGCTAAACCTTCCAGTAAAGGCATCCATATGTTGTGCCCAATGTCTATTAATAAACGGTTCTCTGACATTAAAGTGGTGCAATTAACATGATCTATTCTTTATATGCAACATATAGAGTATGAATTCTAAATTGAGAAGATTTTAAATTCAGATACTACCAACTGGAGTAAGTTAACAATATATAAATGGTTTCTAAGTAAAAAGTGTTAATACTGAAAAAATCCAGGGAGGATTAACACACTAAATTCAGTTATTCATTCTGTTTATTGAATTGAAAGAAAGGGAATACAAACAATTTGTTAAGTGCTGTGCACTGACATGGAAAAAGTGTAATTATTTTTTTAAAAACCCTAGTAAAACAAATCAAAAGTTAATGTTTCAATTGAACAAAAAAAATCTTTTAAAGATATGTTTAATATACTACACATTTATAAAATAAAAAAAGTTAACATAGGGTGTCCTGTAAATAATTAGTAAAACAAGTGAAAATAAATAGAGACCCAAAGTTCTTATGCTTTAATATAGCAAAGAAATTTTAAACTACTAAATATAATCTGAGTAAAGTAACAAAAAAAAACCCAGAAAATTTAAGAACACAATCCTTTGAAACATTTAATATCAGTCCATAGCAAATAGTCATTACATACCCAAAGCTCTAAGTGTTAACTAGTTCCACCACAACTTCATAAAACTCTTGACAATTTAGAAATCTTGGGATCAACAATAAAGTTCTTTTCTTGATCTCTACAGCTTGGTTTGTAAGTACATACATGCTTTGTGGATCCTTTTTTTCCCCATACATTTTCAAGGAGCCAAAAACTTTTTTCCATCTGTGCCTAAAAATGTTAAGATTCAATTCTAGCACATTTGCCCTAATAATGAAAATGTTTAAGTAAAAGATGGGGCACATTTAATTTCAAGCTTATAAAAATATACTAGTATTATTAACCAAACCTTAAAGTCAGAGAGGGCACTTCACATATGCACGAGACTTGAAAAGTTTTTAATAAAACATGACAAGTACCTAGAACAGCTGGTTCCATGACTTATGTAGTCCTCTCTATTTTTCTTTCATACACACATGCACACAACACACACACACACACACTTTTAAATATTCCTTCAACTATTTTGTTTCAATGAACCCAGATTACCTGAACTAGGAAGGTAGGAAATGGGATTTATAATTTTTATTTTAGCAACTAGAGGGCAGCTACTATAGCAATAGCTTAACATCACTGAAAATTTTCAATTACTATCCTATTTTTAGAAATTACCTAAGTGTTAATGAAATTTTGCCTTTTTTTAAAGTAGCAGTTTCTATTAAATCACAGTTACTAAAATGGACTCAGATACTTAATTTTTGAAGGGGGAACCAAAAAAAGGATTCTTGCTACTAGTTTAAATTGTAGAAAACAAACTGAAATAAATCAAATGCAGATTTTATACATTTTGGAGTTGGGGCAATAAAGGATATTAAGAAAAATGTCTTCTTTCTCCCCATTCAAAATCAGCCATTCTTCTGCTGTGAAAGATATGACATGGATATTTTTCCCTTCAGTGTATCAAAAGATGTACCATACATTTACCCACTGTGAGGCAGAGGTGGTAAGGTCAGTTCTGGTTTGCAGGAACCAACATCCTAAAAAAGAAAATTTCAAGATGGGGAGGGGGTGGGAAAGAAGAGTTTTCTATTAATGTCATGAAATGCCACTAGAGGCAAAACACTCCTAATAGCAAACCACTTAAACATTACGTGTGTATTTCAGATTAAGAAAAATACCAATGAATTGGATGGTTTAATTTCAAGCTTAATGGTTTAATTGAAGCTTTCTTCAAATGTTTATCATTTGTATTTATAACTAGGGAATTCTCTTCCCTCTGGCTAGCAGGTTTTTTTGTGACCATAGCCCCAAATGAAGTTGTGCTCCATCTTTAAACTACTTACCTTATTCAGTGTAACTCAGAATTTACCTCGCCAATGAGAACATAAATGTAGTTGCCGTGACTTTTATCATAAACTATTAAAATAAAAAATAAAACTTGTTCTGAATATCCCATTACCCCTTCTCCCCAATTCTACCCCCCGGAAGAACCTCCACAACCCTAAAATTTGAGTATTTTCTATTGACATATTATTTGGGAATAAGAATCTTTCATCATTGCTCTGGCCCTTAAAAATGCCAGACTAGAAACATTTTTAAGCACATGGAAATTAATCTGCTACTAACCTGATTTTTTTGTCAGAGTCAAAATCTCCATTTTCATATGTGCAAAAAGTATTGGTACTTTTCATTTCACACATTTACTAATATCTTGGGGCTGGCTTGCTAGAAATTTAAGTTGCTTTTCTTCTTTATCTTATTATAAATTCTACAGCAGTTACCAGAAGTTTATAATTACTGTCTGTGGACTCATTGATTATTCTGCTGGCAGGGTTTAAGTACCATAAAATCCTAGACTGCCTCCCCTTACAAATTGGACCTATCACAGTCACTAACTGGTATATGTAAGAAACAGATGTTAACAATAAATTGGCACAGCAAAGTACCAGAGAGTACAGGAAACTGTCACTAAGACAATACACTTGGAAAATGAACTCGCCTAGCTGCTATAGAAACCTTTGCATAGTTAGTTGTGTTGCTCCACTTGAATAGAGCTATGTTCCTTTAAAATGGGCCTCACATCTCCGCTTTTGAAGCATTCTTACTGGACTGTACTTTAAAAGTGCACTTTGAAAATTCACAAATTATGTAGGAGGGGCTGGTCAGAGAGGGATTTTTGTTCCATCCAGATTGCCTCTTGAAAGGGCATGAATTTCAATGTTACAAATGTACCCACAGCACTCTTGTAACCAAACTTGTAAACAGCTGTGGAATTTCTACAGCTCATAATTTACTAGAGATGTTACTGCAGAGACTAGGGTGTATTAACGGCTTCAGGGTATACACAAATCATTTAAAATATGAATGGTCTGAACTGTACTGAGGTAAAGAGAAGTTGCCACTTAGTTATATACAATTACCAATAGATTTTTATTCAAGCTTAAAGTAAAAAGTAATTTTAGTTAAGAAAAATGAAGTACCAGATAAGCTGTAACATATAGTTCTTATTCTAACTCAGAAGTATCAAAACAGACAGGAATTCTTTGATTCTCTAAGTGGCGATCTCTGCAAAATGGAGAGTAAAGACACTATGAAAATCTTTAAGGTTATATACCAATTTGATAAATAATCTGTTGACCACGATCTATTAATTTCTCTCTTACTGCAAGCTTTGGGGAGAATCTATGTTATTTTTAAGGCCAATTTGTGTTTCTCTCTCCTCCCCCACCCCCACATTATTCCTCCCACCAACCCAGTTTTCCCCCCTCCCCCCAAATAATGGAAGAATCCGTGATATCCAAGCCACCCATGCCTTTTCCTTCCCCATGTGGTTTCTGGAGAAGTCTATCCACAGTAGTTAACTATAGTGTAGACGACTGGTCCTAAAAGGAACTGTAACTCCAGTTCAAGACTTCTACTGATCATGATCTTTCACTCAGGGTTCATCCTGATACCTTTTCCCCTAACCAAAAGCTGTGGTCTACCCTATCTTGTCCTTTATCTGAAAAAGAAGAGAATTTCAAGGGAGACCAAGTGTGCCATACTCAACTATGATGGGGTAAAAAGCACAACATGAACATCAGGCTCTTGGCTTATTTTCAGAAGTGTAAAATATTCAAAATAAAAGTGCTTTTTTGTTTTTTGTTTTTTTGTTTTTTACAAAGGAAACCATTCCTTATATTTAAAAACAAAAACCAGAAAAAAGAAATCTATCCACAGCACCAGTTTAGAATGAGGTCAGGTATGGCAATATTTTTAACTTCAACTTAAAAGGGATATTCTTTAAATCTATGCATCCCTATAGATCAAAACATTAAGGAAAAATTTCTTAAGTAATATAGGGGAAAATGGATGTGTTTATAAACTCAATATGCATTATAATCTGGATATGGTCCTCTTCTTAAATTACTTTTGAGATTTAAAAATTGTAGCCAAGATTGTAGCATTTCTCTAGGTTTCTAACTTTTTCATCTTTTTGATTTTCAATTTCATGAAAAACTTGGATACGCTTTTGAGAAATCCTAAGTTTACCTTTGTTCTATTCTATCATGTTGGTTGTGCATCTAAAAGTCATTTTTATTCAGTATTTTTAAGATGAGTGATGGCTGTAAGAACAAAAACAAAAGACCTCAAAAATTTTACTCTTAATTGCCTGTGTAAAGTCCTTCTGAGCACTGTTTCTGACCATGTCTTGTATGGTACTCCAGAAGATCATCAGTTATACTGCATATCTATGTCATAGATGACACTGTTTTTAAGCTGGTTTAAGTTCCAAATGTATACAAATGAAGTCACTTTAATCCTATAAATACTTCTTAATTTATTTAAAAAAAATTGTGCTGTTAACCCTTTACGGGGCAACGAGCTATGTGAAAAGTACAAAACTTTTTGTCAAATGTGATATTGAGAGTGCTTTTGACATAGTTCACTGGTTTATCATCTGGATCAGTATATACTGCGCAACGGGCAAGGCTAGAATCCATGAACCAAGCTGCAAAGATCTCAAGCTAAATAAGGCGGAGAGATTTAGAGAAACAAGAGAAGGAAATAACTTTCCTATCCAACGTATACTCTTCAGACTAAAGCACTCTTTCTATCAAGCCTTCTAAACTGTTAAATAAAGTTTTCCAAACAAGCATTTAAACTTCATTACACAGAAGAGCAACAAGAATGGTAGCCCGCCAGACAAAAAGGCAGGAAGGAAAAAAATATATATACTGAGTTCAATGGGTAGCCTGAATGTAGCACAGTTCTTCACAACCGATGGGGGGGGTAATTCAACACGGTGTCCAACAACGTTCTAACGACGTGCTTCATCTCAACTGGTTACTATGAAGCAAGGTGGTAAATGTTTGGCCCCGATCGGGCTTCAGAAATGGTTCTTTTATTTTTCATGACGAGCATGTCTGTCCAGCTATCAATCATGTTTGTTTGCACCAAATCCCAAGCCATTTAAAATACGACTAATTTTAAGTTAAACAGAAGTCGTCTGCTCCGAATTCGCCATCAACTATCCATGCTACTGCATTCCTCTGAATGAAGACAAGATGAAATGTATGTATATGGAGGAGAAAAAGAAAAAAGTTGCTGGTTAGAAAATTTAAAAATAGCATGTTACTACAAATTATAGTATCACTAATAAAATAATTTAAGTCATATTTTTGGCAATATCCATTTCAGGGCAAAAATTTTTTGATACATTTGCCTTTATACACTGGCTTAACTCCAAAGAGAAATAATTTGTTCCCATAATAACAGTTACTTGTATCACTGCTGTCCCAAGTTTTACTTTTGTAGGCCATATAGACACAATACAGAGAGAGAGTACACTAAGATATTTAAATGGAGGGGTAAGATGGGGATTTGAACACTGGCTGTTAAAACATTTATTTCCCCAAAATTACCTTTTTCACACTGCGGAAATAAGATTTAAACCAACATACCACCATACTTCTCTTAAGGGACAAATACTATAGATCTTTAACTGTCACTCCTCTCTAAATTGCCAGGTTGTTTTTTTTTTTTGCTTTATAAAGTTCATAAATGTAATTTGAATGGCCATTAAAAAAACCCTATACATAAAGATATACCTGTACTGCTAGAAGACATAGAATCAGGACTTGAAAAATCTGTTTATATCTCATGTAAGATCATGAATCTCTTTTTTGGCTATTTCTACACTAGAAAAATATAGCTGAGATAATAACCAATGTAATTAGAGCTAATCCTACATGCAGGTCTTGATAAATTCTAGCACTGTATCACCTAGCAATTTCATCATGGGCATTTTGGGTACAATTTTACTGGAAACTACTGAAGTTTACTTTGTTCTCCCTACTCATTCTTTTGTATTTTACTATCATGATGGTGCAAAAAATTAAATAAAAACAAAAAACCCTAAAGCACAGACATTCCTGAATTCTCCTTGAGTTTCTCAGTCAACTATCCTTCAGCCTACGTCAGCCTACAGTCCCAGCTAAAGTGTGAGTGTATGTGCTGGCCACAAGGAGGTCTCTCTTTCCTACAGATGACTCAGGAAACACCTCAGCAAATGTAGTCAGCTCCTTTTTTCAGTCTTCCCTCCCCACCCCAAGAGGATCTTCCAAGATCCATTAAAAACCCTCCTCAGTCATCCTAATTTGGGTTCTTAGAAGCTGAAGAGTAATGCCACCCCTCTCTTCACCTCCTTTTTGTTTTTATTCCCTGAAAGATGAAAAGTTAATTTGGCTCCTAAATCCATTGCTGGAAGTCTTTAATCAGATGCTGGAGGATCACCTGTTAGTGACATAAATGAAATTGGTTATGTGGGTAGAGGGCAAACTATAACGACCTCTCAAATCTCTTCCAACTGTATGATTTGAAGCAAATTTATTGAATCTTCCCTCTGTGACTATGTGGATAAAACTCATCATATAACTTGCTGTATGGTTATACCATCTCAGTGGCACCTCTAAAACAAATCACTTAAAGATCTATTCTCTGTCACCACATGAATTTCTTTGAAGGAAGAGCTGCCAAAGGACTAAGAAAATTATGTTAGAAAACTGCATATCACCACAATGTAGATCCATAAAGCATCTACCCACCCTAGAGGTTTCAGAATTGGCAATAGGATAACAGATAGCAAAATAAGCCTGCCTTTTCACAGGTAGGATTTTCTGGACATTAAAGTCAGAATGTCCCATGATAATCTGAAGATGTGAAATTGTTAACCAAGATTCCGAGTATACAAAGGCTAATAAAACAACAACAAAAAAACCCCCTAGAACTATTCTTCTCCCTGCCTTGAGCCATTTTTGTATAAGAGCCAAAGATAAACTATATGAAAACACTTCTGCCATAACCAAGATCACCAACAAGATTTTTTAGCTTGCTCTTGCAAACAAGCTAAAAAATTAACATTTATAGTTAGCAATCATATTGAAACTGCTACTAAATCATTTAAGTTAAACTTCCCGGTTATCTTATCACCACATTCCACTGGTTCATCAGTGTTTTCACATTAAAATTTAACTCATCATTCTCCTAATGCTTCTTTATCTCTGCTCTAAAGTGAAAGCTTCATCTTTAAAAATTCCCTGTTAAATGAGGAAGCCCCACTGAAGCTCAAATCCCAAGTCACATGGCTGAAGTAAGACCTTTAATAGCCAAAAGCCTTTCACCACTGGAGAATTTGAATATCAACCAGCTGCCAATTCTCCAGGTGTTCCCCCATAGCATTATTCAGCAATAGTCCAGCACACCAGGTCAGACTAGACTTTCCTCTTCATCTCCTTAATTCTTGATCCTGCTTGACTCAGACAAGACCCTATGAAAATCCACCAGGCTTTGCCAGGTTGGGACACCTTATTCCATCTGGGGTCCCCTTGGTCTTGACCATCATTTTTCCCAACTGCCCACTTCTTAATGAATTTCTTTTTCCTAATTCATCTCATGCCACATACTCTCTTATAGTGTTGTGCCCTTCCTTTGTACTGTACCTTGGAAGACCAAACCTCATTCATTAAGATACCACCCTGGTTTCATTTTCAGGTTACATATGATTAGCATGCAACTAACATGTAAGAGGTATTAGGTAAAAAAAGTCTACAGTCAGGATCAGTAGAAAGTCTAGGATGGACATCTCCATTTTGTATACTGGTTAGAGATCATTTAGTTTTAGTAAAGTCATTATGTTAACTTGGATAATGTAACTTTTTTGTGTCCTTCAGTAATTAGTGCCTTACACTTTGTGAGTATTTAATAAATGTTTGCTGAGTAAATAAAATTAGGTAGCATCCATGGGAAAAAATAAGACTTTCTAATATAGTAGAATTTAGTATATAATTACATGAAGTTGAGGGAGTTCTTTTCAGTTCTACCCATAAGAACCATAAAAAGGTTGTAAATATGAAATTAAGTAACAACAATGTTTAAAAGAATCTCTATGCAAGACCAGTGTACAGTACGCAAAAGATAAATATCACACCCCCACTACACGTGCCACATATACATCCTTCAAAAATAGCATTGATTACTGTAACCAATATGTAAAATCCAGCTTTCATTGAAGAAAAAAGCCTAAGAATGTTGTAAATGGTGTTACCTTCAATATCCTGGTTGTCTACAAAAGGTGCTGGTCCCCATATTCTAACAGTGCCATCATCTGAAGCACTGGCCATCATGGATGGAATCTGTGGGTTCCAGCTCACACAGTTAACTGTGCGTGTGTGTCCTGTTAGCTCTGCAATTGGCAGTTCACTACGTTTGTGCCAGATGTATACTTTATGATCTGAATAAAATAGCAATTCAGAGAAAAAGAAAAAAAAGAGACATTTGCATTAACTACTACCATTTAACATTTTCAAATTATCCTAACAATAATACATACAGCTACTGACTAATAATACAGCTTGACAATAAATGAACACAGAGTTTGTGAAAAATTCTCTTAAGCAGATATTCAACACCGAGATCTGTCTTTGTTTGGTTTTCATCATCTGTGACTTTATTGCTGTGTCCCTGATTCAGAAAACAGTTTCTGAGAATTGCTATGGCCCCAAATATCTTCTCCAGGTGGATATACACTCATTGGTCCCTTATAGCTTGGTATAACATGGCTTAGCTTTGAGAACTTAAGTTTCCCTCTATCCCAAAAGGAGGCAACAGAGGAAGACTTTTGTATAGATACCACATCTATAATGATTTGAAGAGGATTTTCATCCACCATATTATGATGCTAATATTAAGATAATTGCATTTCATGAACAACATTTAAGTTCTCTGAACCTAAGCAGGTACCAAGGATAAATGGGTTTTGTCTATTTATACAGTTGTCACGTACCTGTTCCCATAGTATACATTTGTGACTTGTGATCACGAAGTAATGTGACTGATTTTAAAACATATGCCCAAATGAACCTTGTCTTTCTCAGTAGTCACCTTTCAGTTTAAGTTTCCTTTGTATCTACATCCAGTTCAAAGTGCTGTCTTACTTTATATTTTACCTCTTCTTTCATTTCAATTCATATAAAGGAATTCACTTTACAGGTTAACTACTTTCCCCCATTTATTTGTCTTCTCAAAACACACATTTACCAACATTTCTCCCACAATTTTATCAAGCCCTCCCCCCCCCCCGGGAAGAAAAAACTTTCACTTTTCACTACGGTTGAATTACAACTATAAAAGTAAATAAAATGATTTTTAAAATACTAAATAAAGGCCCCAAATTCAGATTATAGCACCAAATAATGCAAATGCCACCTCATATATACAGCGTGCTGCAAACCATTCATTTGTCCCCTTATAATCATGCTGGGCATACTGGTAATAGATTATTATTCCCACCTAACAAGGAAGGTTAAAAAAACAACTTGAATCCAGATCTTTTTATGATAGTTGCACCTAGTTTTTTTATTTAAAATATTAACATTTACTTTGATCACTCATTTCATTGACTCAGTGATAAATGAATTAACTTAAAATCTAATGCATCTTCAAAGCATGAAGATTTGCTACTGATGAAGGCACCAGAGAATCAAATGCTTTTTAGCTGTGGGGGTTGAGAATCCGAGATGAGGAGGGCTCTCACTTCCAAATGTTTAAGAGTTGACTGCTCACTAACTGAAGACAATACTCTGAAAGGAATTTAAAAGGCATTTCCAAAATATTTTGAGCAATGGCAATATTGCTGGAGTACATAGCCTCTGAAAGTAACCACTATGAAGGAGACACATTCATCTACATTAAGAGTTCAGTATATTTGTCAACGATCCCGCCAGTCAACAGTCGGTCAATAAATATTAGACACCTATTATGTGCCAGATACTGTGCAGCCACATTATTTTATAGTTATGACTCATATGCAGACGCCACATTTCAGGAATGGACCAATTTACTTATTTTTATGAAAACTGAGTGGTAATAATTTACATTTGTACAGCACTTTCCAATTTACAAAAGGTTTCCCACACAGTAAGCTTGTGAGTCAAGTATCCATTCATTCATTCAAGCATTTATGAAGTGCTTAGACAGGCATTGTGAACAGAAACAAACAAATCTACATCATTAAAGAACTTAATTCTATTGCAAGGAAAGTAACATGAAGAGATATGTAAATAAATACAAAGTAAATAAAAATAATTTTGGAGAAGACACCAACTGGGGAAAAAAAGAGGTAATTAAAATAAAGTATTGAGGGAAGGTAGGGATCCTAATAGTTAGATGTGGAGAGGAAAGTATAGTGGGATCCTTAGTGCATCCTAGGGACGCAGCCTATTCAAAAGATGGGAGATTGGATGTAGTGTCCAGGGAATAGTATTTAAGACAGTTTGCCTGGAATATAGAGTGAATGAAAGAGCATAGTGTATGGAAAGGATGAAGCTAGATTGTGAGCTTAAAACACTAAAGAGGAACTTATCCCTAGAGGCAACAGGGAGCCAACAGACATTAATGACCAGAGTAACATTGTTAGACTGGAGCTTTATGAATATCACTTTGTCAGCTATGTGAGGTATGAATAGAAGGATGGGACTGAAAGTCCGGAGACCAATTAGGTGGCTATTGTAATAGTCCTGATCAGAGGTGGTAAAGGCCTGGACTAGGACAGCAATCATGTGAGTATTAAGAAGGGGATGGATACGGATGAGATGTTGTGGTGGTAGATCAGGGCTAGGCACCTGAGCCATAGAGGGTAGGGAAGAATGGAGAGGGAAGGATGACTCAATTAACTGCAAATTGGAGTAACTGGAATGATGGTAAAATGCTCAACAGAATTAGCAAAGTTAGGAAGAGAGGAGTTCTGATTTGGATATATTGTTTGAGATACCCATGGCACATCCAACTGGAAATGCCCATTAGGAAGTAGTTGATGCATGCCTGGCGCTCTGGAGAGACTTGCTTCATAGCTGAAACCCAGGAGAAAAGAGCCTAGGGCAGGGGTGGGGAACCTGCCTAAGCTTGGCCCTTTTACCGGAACAAACCCCCTTGATAACAGGATTTGTTTTGTAAAACTTTTCTGACTCAGTCAAAAAGGACAAGTGGCCTTTAGGGCACAGGTTCCCCACCACTGGCCTAGGGGGTAGAGGTGGGAGAGTTAAGCCATAGTGAAAGGGTATATAAAGATGATGAGAGAATACTGGTGCAATCAGACAGGCAATAAGGAGAACAAAGAGAGGGCAGTGTCAGGAAAAGGAGGAAGAAGAACAAACCCAGGAGGAAGGGTAGTTGACTATGTCAGGTTCGGCAAAGAGGTCAAGAAATTTTAGGGCTGATAAAAGGCCACTAGATATGTCAATATCAGTGATAACCTTAGAGAGACAGTTTGAGTTAAATGATTAAGTTAGAATGCAAGGAGTTCAGAAGTTAGGGAAGAAATGGAAAAAAGTGTGCAAGAATGGGTTTTCCTATTTGTTTTGATTGTGACAGGAAAGAGATACAAAACGACAGCTTAAGCAAATAATAAAATAAAATAAAGTTTTCTTGGAATCTTTGCAGAGAACAATGGTAAGATCGAGCCAGTAGGTAGTAGGCAGGAGTTGAAAATGAGTGACAGAGATGGTCAGATTGTGAGGACTAGGTACTAGAAGAGATGGGAACAAAAACACAAGAAGATGGGATGGGTTGGCTTTGGGTAAGGAGAAATGGATACTTCATTAGAGACTGGATCAAAGGAAGAAAGAAAGGCATGGGGTTGGGGGGTGGGGTGGGCGTATGTGATGATGTCCAAAGGTTTTGAGATATTAGAAAATGAGGCAGCTCAAAGCAACAGCAAATAGCCTCTACAGCTTTTTTTTTTTAAACTAGGCAATGGGGTTAAGTGACTTGCCCAGGGTCACACAGCTAGTAAGTGTTATGTGTCTGAGGCCGAATTTGAACTCAGGTCCTCCTGAATCCAGGGCTGGTGCTCTATCCACTGCACCACCTAGCTGCCCCAAATAGCCTCTACAGTTAAGTACGAGGTGAAGTCTGTCCTCTGCAAAGACAAAAGGGGGGGACAGGAAAAGTTGTATGAGAGGTTTGAGTAAAGAGGAAAAGATTTCAAACAATCACTGTTGGTAGTGGGTTCTCTAACCTTGGTCTCAAGATCCTTCTACATTCTTAAAAATTAAGGACCCAACAAAGCATTTGTTTATATAGGTTATATCTATCAATATTTTACCACATCAGAAATCAAAATCATTAAAATACTAATAAGTATAAAATAACAATGAAATCATAGTTGAACACCAACTTTACAGAAAAAAACTTAATTTAGTGAGGAAAAAGTGGTATCTTTAATGTCTGGCATAACACAAGACAGATTTTCATATCTGCTTCTGCATTCAATCTGTTGCAATGTTATTTTGGTTGAATTACATGAAAAAAATTTGGCCTCTCAAAGATACATGTAGTTGGAAAAGAGTGGAATACTCCAATAGACAAATAATATCTTAGTTTCATTATGAAAAGAGTTTTGACCTAGTGGACCACCCAAAAGGATCTCAGGGACCCTCAGGGGTCTGCATACCTTGAAAACTGCTCATGTAGGGAAGCAGGCAAGACTGACCGCCTTACTGCCCTTACTGCAACAAAGGACCCGTTGAAATTAGATAACAAATGTGTAGTGGACTCATTCACCATACACATTTGACCCTGGTGATTTCCTATTTAATTTGTTAATATCTTTATCCAGATATAATAGGATTTCCTTTCCTAAATTAGCACTGTGTCTGCATGATAAACCTTTCTTACCATTTTATCAGACATAACTTTAAAAAGAGAAAACCACTTAATTTTTTGGGAGATCTGAACTAAACAATTCTCTTTACTATTTGACCACCTTGTTATAGATATCCAGTTTGAAGCATTCATGCTTTGATATCAGGGAACTCAAGAAGTTTGATTTATTATAAAATGACCTGGTGGTTTCAGAATACAGTCTGGTACTTAAAAAAGACATATTTAGATAAAGATTTTGAATGATTTTAAAAGATTCCGTTGTTTTTAATAAACATTTAGCCTAAAGAGTTATATTTTAAAAAATCTGAATTCCATATTCAATTCACTCCCCAAAATAAGAGCTATTTGTAAGAATGGTTTTGCTTATTTTAACAGATTATGTGCTGTCAAAGTAAAATATTATATTACAATCAAAGTACCACATTCTTCCCCCAACCTCTACCTTCTGTCACCCCCTTGCTTTCCATATTAAGACACAAAACTTTTTTTTTTAAAGTTCTTCACTTTTCTTTAGATCTTTTTTCCTTCTATATCTTTGTTTGCTTTACTGTGGTGTCTTTTTCCAGCAAA